GCGCAGTGGCTCACGCCTGTAATCCCAGCACTTTGGGAGGCTGAGGAGGGTGGATCACGAGGTTAAGAGATCGAGACCATCCTGGTCAACATGGTGAAAACCCGTCTCTACTAAAAATACAAAAAAAATTAACTGGGCATGGTGGCGCGTGCCTGTAATCCCAGCTACTCAGGAGGCTGAGGCAGGAGAATTGCCTGAACCCAGGAGGCGGAGGTTGCGGTGAGCCGAGATCGCGCCATTGCACTACAGCCTGAGTAACAAGAGCGAAACTCCATCTCAAAAAAAAAAGTGCATTTACCAAACAAATGATTGAACTTCACAGTTTGCATGTTTCTTTTTTTGCTACACACACACACACAAAATTTACCATCTTAGTCAATTTCAACTGCACAGTTTAATAGTGTTAAGAAGATTCACATAGATGTACAACAGATCTCCAGAACTTTTTCATCTTGCAAAACACAGTCTCTATATCCATTGAACAATTCCTCATTTCCTGCTTTCTCCAGCCTGGGTAACCACCATTCTACTTTTTGTTTCTAAGAATTTGACCACTGTACATAACCTCATGTAAGTGGAATTATATAGCGTTTATCTTTTTGTGATTGGCTTACTTCATGTATGTGAAATGTAAAAGAAAAAAAAAAAATTGAAGCCAACAAATATTTTATTAAAACCAATGAGTTTCATGCCACTGAACTGTACACTTAAAAATAGCTAAAATAGTAACTTTTATGTATATTTTTTAAAAATGGAAGACTGGGTGTGGTGGCTCATGCCTGTAACCTTGGGAGGCTGAGGTGGGCAGATCACAAGGTCAAGAGATCGAGACCATCCTGGCCAACATAGTGAAACCCTGTCTCTTCTAAAAATACAGAAATTAGCTTGGCGTGGTGGCATGTACCTGTAGTCCCAGCAGCTCAGGAGGCTGAGGGAGGAGAATCGCTTCAACCCAGGAAGTGGAGGTTGCAGTAAGCTGAGATCACACCACTGCACTCCAGCCTGGTGACCAGGTGAGACTCCGTCTCCAAAAAAAAGGAAAGAAACTCTCAACACTAACTATAGCAACTAGACCAATTAGAAAAAAAAATTATTTCTCATGGGAAGGTGCTTTATCATTGACATAGTTTAGGATTGTTGGCACAAATTTAATCAATTTGATTATAATTGTGTTTATATTCTCGGCCAGCAGTTCACCTCCTTCTTGTCCAGCCTCCAGGACTGACTGCTCCCCTCCCTGGGCACAACACTACTGCAAAATAGGCCAAGAGCAGGATTTGACAGCTCTACCACAAGGCCATCCAGCAATGTGGGCTCCCATGCTCACGTATTTAAATTAAAGTGGGGTTTTTCAATAACTGTCTTAGTCTGTTCAGGTTGCTGTAACAAAATACCATGAAGTAGGTAGTTTCTAAACAATTAGCATTTATTTCTCACAGTTCTGGAGGCTGAGAAGTCCAAGATCAAGGAGTCAGCAGATTTGGTGTACGGTGAGTCTGTTCCCTGTTGCACTCTATGGTGGAAGGGGCTAGTGAGCTCTCTGAGTCTCTTCAAACATGCATTATGCCCTAACTGCCCAAAAACACCCCTTTGGGTTAGAATTGAAGCATATGAATTTGGGGGGTAGAAACATTCAGACTATAATAATAACCACAGGGCATTCGTCTCAAAGTTCCTATATTTCTGATGCACCCTGCCATGGAACCGCAGATACCACGGTCACTTTAATTGCATTAGGGAGCTCCCTTAGGAATAAACTTATTTCACCATCAGATTCACCAGAAGAGAAGTGATATGCGGTGATGTTAGACAGTTCTCCTTCAAGCAAACAAAAATATTGATTTTTTTTCCCCTGAAAACACTCTTTTCCTTTAACTCATTGAACTATTAGGAGAGAACAAAAACACAGCTGACCACTTTGCCAATCCTCAAGTCTTCACTGAATGACTCTTCAGAAGGACTTTATTGTCATGGTCCCAGACAGTGTTCTTATTTGTCTCTCTGTCTTTCAGAGTGGTGAGTTCAGACTGTGGAGAGTGAAGAACTGTCTCCAGAATATCTCCTCCAAACAGAAACAAGAGACCAGGTTGCTGCAAGGCCACAGCCTCTTATTAACAGGTTTAGCTGAGACGGAAACCATTTGTTCCTGAAAACTGAGGTGACGGAAAGACCCATCTCATTCTAAGCTAGGGATGGAGTATCTTGACCTCACTCTGCTAATCTGCCCTATCTTCAAACTATGGTCTCGCTGTGTGGTCTTAGACCAAACACTTGGCCTCCACAAAGCTCCATCAACTCATCTGTAAAATGAAGATAAAAATAACCACCTTCAAGGCTACTGTATTTGAAAAAACAGGCAATGTATTTTGCACTCAAGATTAATATTTATTCCGAGTCCCCATCCCTTTTCTTCATACTTGCTGCATACTCCAAAACCAGTATTTCCAAACACTTCTCTCTGCTCCACAAAAGCTGTGTCTGTAAAATCTTTCAGTGTCCTTCTTCCACCTGTAATGCCATCCTTGAGAACAGGGACTCCCCACATAGCCTCGGTTGTGACAGGTGAATTCTATGGAAAGGCTCCAGAATACATGGAGCATGTCAAAAAGGAGGCTTTAAGAACATGAAAATAACACGGAGTATATATAGCACACACACACTCTTTATAATAGAGAACTTATAAACTGAGTACCATCTCAAGATAGAGCACAGGGTCCTTGTATATTTCACACCAAGAAGGAGAGGAAGTCTTGGAAAGTACATCAAGGCAGACTTGTGCTAGAACAAGTTCAGGGAGATGTCAAGGACTTTCGGAATCTCTGTGCTCTTTCATCTCCTACAAATGGACCTCCAGTGGCCTCATACACTGAGCCCCAGATTGGCCTCCAGAGAGAGGCTATACAAGGGATAAAGAATCTTGAAGGGACTCTCAATTCTACCAACCAGTCACTTCATCAAGACTGTGCTGGGTTTGAAATATGGATCTAGTTGTCATGGTACACATAGTAGGTACTCAAGTATTTGCAGAATACATGAATGACACAATATGTAATGGGCTTAAATGTAACAAACTCTTTCATGTTCAAAAATAATCAGCCAATCACAATTGTGATGCTGCTATTACAAGTATCACTATTTTGGTAATTCACTGAAGATTTTTGAATACTACATGCCTAATGGGAAGAAGGGGTAATTGTGAACGTAAAAGACTCTTACAAGGCAAAGGTGATTCTTAAGACATACTTTGCATAAATAATACTTTTCTTTCTTGGTTGCAAACAATAGAAACGGACTCTGATTATTTCAAGCAGAAAAGGAATTGATTGGAAGGGTGCAATAGCAGTAGTATGCAGCAAAAGTCTGTTTAGGAGGTTGCCAATAGCACTCTTGCCCCAGTCACTATCACACCACCAGACCTGAACATATACAGGACCTCTGACGGATCCTGCAACTTTGTCTCATACTGTAAGCCTCAAAATCCTGTGTGCAAGAAATCAGTCTGACCACCTCCCAGATTTTGGTCCCTGTTTCTGGCTGCAGAGGCAGGTGACTTCTCACTTGCTATTCTACTTCCATAAAGAGGGGTATTTATTACACTCCATTCTGCTTGACATGAAGCAAAATAGGAAGGGTATTCTGACACTAAGAAGCCAAAACAACAAATGTCCCTCCTGCATCCCTGCTGAAAGTAAACAGCTCTAAAGAGCTTTAGTCTCTTCAACTCTTGCAACTAACCTGGGTGAAATTTTCCTGGCCCTATTTGCCCCACTCAGCAATGCCACCCTAACCTATGCATCATTAGCGTGGAGCATCAAAAAAGTCAATGTGCTCTTTTTCAAAGCGGAGGAGACATTGTGAGAATCAGTGATGTAACCATAGCTTCAATGTTTGACAACTCTGCTTTTCTCCTTAAATGAACTGGACAGACTTCATTAATATTTGGAAAAGTCAATTTTTAAAATATGATAGTATTATACCTTTAGTTTTGAGAATATTCAACTTATTGAGACATATAGATTTTTTTTTAGTGGGGGAAGGGAAGCTTAAAAGCTCTCCCATTGTTTGATTATCCTTCTCCTATACTCAGCACTCAATTTTCTTCCCTCTGGCACTTTCTGCTGTAGCCAGATGTATTGTTTTACCACCGCCTCTCAATTGTTTTTGCTATTTTTGATCATTAATTTTTCCAAGTCCTCGAGTAATTTTAAATTATGCAAATAATTATGAAATTAGGCAAATAATTGTGACATGTGAGTGCTGACCCAAGTACTAGGTACCAACCTAAGAGCTCTACACGCATCACACCTCACTTCATCCTCAACATCTTGTCATTTTACAGATGGAGAAACGGAAGCCAAAAGCCTAAGCTTCATCAAAGTAGGAGCTTGAATTAAACTGCAAAATACAAGATTTACTGGCAATAAATAAGGTATCTTTATTATGATTAAATTAAAATTTGCATGTTTTCTAGTCTGTAACAGGATTAAAAAAATACAAAAAGGCAAGGTTCTTAATGATTCAGCTAAATTAACTATAAAATTAAAATACTTGCTATTTAATACCTTCTAAAATAACACAAAATATATTCAATATGCAATACAATCCTCAGTGATCCAATTCTCCTAATATGCAATTATTTATAAACTCTGAACTAAGAGGAAATGGTTTGACTAAACAGAGAAATAACAATGTTTTTATCCTAAGTAATCTATACTTTGGAGTAGAAATACTCATTTAATACAATGTTAGTTATTAATATTCCACAAGGAGTGATCTTTATTTTAAAAAAAACAATGTTATAATTATACCAATTTTTAGTTATAATTTGTGTGAATTTGCCCAACCTAAATTCCTGAGTGCCTGGAAAATACAACTTTTTTAAAGCTACTAATTTGTAACACAGTTTACTAATTCAAATTGACATCCCAACCTACTTATCTTTAAGGTACAGAATTTATCTTTTTGTTGTTAAGTGGAATTCTCATTAACAATGTAAAGCATTTTCCTTTCTACATTGTATTTTATTCAATTATCTGTAACAATGCCATATACTAGTAAGCAAAGCAAGCAACATTATTTTTTTAAATAACATCTTTAATTAAAGTTTTTGCAAAGGTAGAATATTAAACTTAAAATAGGTCTTAGTACATCAAAATACTAAGTTCTCTAATTGTATTCCAAGATGGTCTTTAAAACATAATATCCCATATATCACAGAAGAGCAACCTTGATCTGCAATGAATTTTACAAACATAATAAATATATTTACGCCATTACACATAACAGTATGTACAACAGCAGTTGACAATAGTAGCTCAGAACAGCAAAAAGGATTAGCCCTGCCCCCCCACCCCCTCCCCCGCAAATCATAGCCCTGATGCAGACTGGACTGATTATGGAACTTTGACTGAAAGAGTAGTTACTAATTCAATATGGTTCTTCCCTTAAAAGAGAAAATGTTTTTTTGTTCCTCAAAATAAACAAAAATGTTAGTTTGGTGTGTTCTTCATTAAACCATAGACAATGACAAGACACAGTAAGGCAAGCTTAAAAAGGGAAGAATATAAACTTCATAATAATTTCATAGCATAATAGAGGACTAAAATGCAAAACTATTTAACATAAACTCATGAGAAAACAAATAAAGCAACTATTTTTTTTAACCAAAGAATTCAAAATCTGCTATAGCTGAGTCTGACAGGCAGGTGAAAGACATGAAATAAAATGAAAATGTACAAAGATGGATCAATAAACTATGGCATTGCACAAAAGCTCAAAAAAAGAATTCAAGATGAAAAAATCTGAAAATACAGGTATTTTCTCAAGTGGAAGAAATGCTAAGTCATAAAGAGAACGCCCAAGAGGAAACTACGTCTGTTTTCCTATACAAGGCATATTTACCCTCTGATAATAATGGTGACATTATTGCTATGAGAATCAAAAATTACTCTTAGAGGGAGACAACTCTTTTCATTCCTCCATAAAAGCCAGGAAAAAAAAAATGTTTGATTTTCATGATAGCAAAAGAAAATATTCATATAAAAGCTGTATCTTATTTTCTAAAACCAGAATCTATTAAGCTCATCAAGAACACAATTTAATTAGTACACACTGCAAAAGTCTTGATGTAATCTTAGAATAACAGACTGGGTTTGCTTTTAAAAGAGGCAACAGTGTAAATGTGACATTATGATGGCATTTTAACTAACAGAAAGAAATGTGAACATTTAAAAAATACAAAAGCCCAATAAAAAGATCCCCCTCATATAACAGACATTTTACTCTAGAAATTAATTGCACATCAAAGAGTTGTTTTAGCCATATGTGGCACTCCACGGAAATTAAATAGGCTCTCAGGCATTCAAATGGTCTGATTACCTAAATGACCACCAAGCAAGAGTTTGTATACTGAAAGGCACACATTTCTATGTTTTATCTTGTAATTTTGTGTAAATTTTCCTTAGCACTGTTGATTAATGTTTTTTAAGTAAAAGGTGCCATCACCATCTGTGCAAATGTAAACAAATCATCTCCAGAAACCATTACTTATTTTCATAATACCAAGTCCAAACTATTTTCTGCCTTTAGATACACATGCTACTTTCATTTTTAAATTCTGAAAGTGGGAATCCCTTGCCTTTTCAAAGGAATGACATTTTAATGGAACTTAATATGAAATGATTTGTTAAATATAATGTTAAAAGCATGATTAAGAATTCAAGTACAGTAAAAGATAAGCAAGTGACATTCTTACAGCAAAAGCTACTATAATAAAACTAAAACATGCTATTTGATTAAAAAGGAACACGATGCAAATAATATATAAGAGCACAATTTGGTACACAATGTAGCTTGGACCAGCTTTCAGAATTTTCACAGGTAAAAGAAAAGCATCTGCCAAGTATACCATAATTAATATGCAATATACAGGTGCAAATACAAATGGTTATTTCCTGCTTCAAAAATAACAAAATAACCACTATGAAAGCAGTGGTTGTTCATGTTTGAAAAATAAAGTTATAAAAACAGGCTAGTATACAATGCTACTATGAATATGAATGTTTGTCTACATAGAGGCCCCAAGAAGAGCTGAGTATCATACAGTAATCCAAGTTTCAGTAGCATAAAAACTACTAGATAGCCAAAGGGTTTCACTTAAGCAACACTGCAGCACTGCTGAATTTTTATAGGTAGTTCAGTCACCAACTTCTTTATTGAGTAAATACAAACCTACTAGCTACTGTATTGAAGAACAGTTGATGAACAACAGGACTTCTGTGATGTTACTCCCTCCCATTTCCTCTTCTCTCAGTCTTATTAATAATAATATATATTTTAAAACCTCTGTGTGCTTTAAGAGTCACAGAATAAACTTCCCCTCAAAAAACTAAATTAATATAGTGAAAATAAAAACTGTATTACCATTTATGGTACCTAAATAAAATCTAACTACTAGCATGCTAGACACCACCATTTACATCAAAGTTTAGAACATAAGTTAAAGAGACCAAGGTGGTTAAGCTGGGTGGGAAGTAGAAAAACAATTTTTGCCTTTTTTAAAGTTTAAAGATCTGTGTTAAAAAAGAAACACTATTTAACAGCTCACAGTTTCTTCTTTGTTAATGTACTTTAAAAAGTGTTGATGAGTTACTTCTGAAAACACAAAGGCAAAAGGAAGACAAAAATTGAAGACTAAAAAAATATATCAATATACAAGTAATCTAAACACATGTAAATTTTTGTCAAGATAAACCATGGAAAGTTGAATTCGTTATAAGAACACAATGGTGAAGACAAGCATTCCTGCAGTTCTCCCAGGCAGCGAATCACACTGAACACAGCAGTGCCACACTGTTCTTCAGATCCTCCTACAGAATACAGACCTACGCATTCTTAATATACATATTACATTTCTATTATTTTTAATATACAAGTCAAATTTCTATGCTTTCTTCCCAATGTGCAAACTGGAGCCAACGTCTTTATTTTCTCAATGGCCTGGAAGGACCATCAGATAAAAAAGAGGTAACTTAAGGCCCACTCACCTCTTCCCCCCAAATTTCCCCTCAAATTACAAAGTTGATTTTAAAAACTTGTTGAATTAGAATAATAGTTTTTTAAAATTCTTTACTAGTAAACACAAGAAACTTTTATAATTACTAAATTGTTTAATAAAAATCCAGGTCCTCACCACCTGCCCTATACTTTCATCAATGCACAGACTGTTATCTGAATGTTTAGTTTAAAGACTAAACACATTTATAAGAACACACTTCAGCCCAACAGGAAAAGTCTACGTATATTCATGTGTATACAATTTCAGCTAGAATATACGCTTGCAAAATAAAACTATATTCCTGAGGACCTAGTCTGGGGTTTCTTTTTAAGGTGTGGCACTAAAACAATTTTTTTGGTAAGGAAATTAAAGTTGTCATTTCAATTCCACTCAACTCAAACAAGACCCAAGTCTTTAATCACATTTAATAAATAGGAAAACCTAATTAAAATATCCACTCCTGGGTCAAATTTTATCTCCAAACTATGATCACTGATAACTTCCTTTAAATCTTAAATAGATGTTTCATAAAGCTGGAAAGGAAGAGGTATATATCACTGAGGGAGAACAGCAAGTAAAAATATTTAAGATCTATTAAGAGTTTTAAATTTTTTTCTTATACAAGTGAATTAAAATTCAACACCATAATTCTTACCCTTTGTAAAAAGCTCACACACAACTTTTAACCAAACATAACCACATACAATAAGCAATTTCAGTTCAATCTATCAAAAGGGAAGTTTCTTCAGTTCATTCCAACAAGTATCTTCTGACTGAACCCAAGTTGGAGGAAAGAATATAGACAAAGCTTTACATGCTAATTAACGGTGGCAGGTACCTGTATTTAAAATCAACAATTATGGTTTTCCTACACAAAACCCCAACCCTCCCACCCAACAGTCCCTGGTGCTACAGTTCCATGGCTTGCCAGTAAGTAGTGTCTATGTTGTCAAGGTCTATCTTTGTTCCAGTAGCTTTGCTTCTACTGCAATTTTCTGACATGCAGAAATGAAGTTTTGGTTGGCATATGCCCAAGTTTCAAACTGTCCACTTTAAATTTTTTTAAGTTTCTTTTATTTATAAAAGAAAAAAAGCAACTCTTCACCATTCTGCATCCCCAATGGCTTTGGAAAATATATAATCTCTTCCATTAAGATTCATAATGCCATCCTTGAGATGAAATTTCCATTTGTTTTTACTTCTGTGTATCTAAACAAAAACAAAATTAAAAGAATTAAGAGATACAATCAGAAAACAGGGAAAACAAGTAACGTAAAATCCATACACACCCACCACACACACCCACAAAACAGTATTTACAGTATTGTATTTGCAAATTGGTTTCTTTTGTTTTTGTAGAGACAGGGTCTCCCTATGTTGTGCAGGCTGGGCTCAAGCTCCTGGCCTCATGTGATCCTCCTGCCTCAGCCTCCCAAAGTGTTGGGATTACAGGTGTGAGTCACGGCACATGGCCTCAAAATTGGTTTATTAATAAAGTTTAATTTCACCCAAAAAACACCCCACAAAAAATTCACTCATTAGGTGGGTTTAAAATAAATCAATCAATCTGTAATTAGTACTATTTCATAGCTTTCAGTACTTGTGTTCATTAAAGTAGTGAAAAAATATTTCTTTACAAAATGTCTTATCCATCAGGTCTGCATATGTATTTTCAAGGTCTACCTCAAAAAGACTGTATCCTTCACAAAGCCCTCCCAAATCTTACCAGCTAAAACTATTATTTTCCAATGGTATTCTCACTGACATTTTCTTTTTTTTTTTTTTTTGAGACGGAGTTTCACTCGTTACCCAGGCTGGAGTGCAATGGCATGATCTCGGCTCACCGCCAACCTCCACCTCCTGGGTTCAGGCAATTCTTCTGCCTCAACCTCCTGAGTAGCTGGGATTACAGGCACGCACCACCATGCCCAGCTAGTTTTTCGTACTTTTAGTAGAGGCGGGGTTTCACCATGTTGACCAGGATGGTCTCGATCTCTTGACCTCGTGATCCACCCGCCTCGGCCTCCCAGAGTGCTGGGATTACAGGCTTGAGCCACCGCGCCCGGCTCTCATTGACATTTTTTACACCATTTGTAGGTAATACAATTATGGACTCATTTCTTCTACCAAAATAAAACTTCTTATTGTGTTCTCAAGCCCTAACATGGAACCTTATACATAGCAGTATTTAAAAAATACATCTAGGCCGGGCGTGGTAGCTCAAGCCTGTAATCCCAGCACTTTGGGAGGCCGAGGCAGGTGGATCACGAGGTCAAGAGATCGAGACCATCCTGGTCAACATGGTGAAACCCCGTCTCTACTAAAAATACAAAAAAATTAGCTGGGCATGTTGGCGCGTGCCTGTAATCCCAGCTACTCAGGAGGCTGAGGCAGGAGAATTGCTTGAACCCAGGAGGCAGAGGTTGCGGTGAGCCGAGATCGCGCCATTGCACTCCAGCCTGGGTAACAAGAGCGAAACTCCGTCTCAAAAAAAAAAAAAAGAAAAGAAAAGAAAAAAAAAATACATCTAAAGGATGCTGATCATCCAGTCACTTAGAGCAGATTTTAAAAACTACGTACATCCACAGTTAAAAAGCTGAAGGGCAGGCTCTGGGAACTCCCATCTTTGCCTTCACTTACAGTCCTTAGTTGTTTGTAATTCCATGGATTTGGTGGGGGAGAGGAACTGTAAAACTTAATGAACTGAAGTGACCTTTCTTCCTTTTCCCAGTAATTCGCACTAATTATTTAATGTTCAGTTCAAGTTCCACATCTTCTGCAAACAAGGCCCCATGGTTCTCCCTATTCTATGATTTAAAGGTACCTTAAAAAAAAAAATCAACTAGTTCAGCCTTTCATTTTCGGAAGAAGAAATGACAGCTTGGACAAGGTTCAATGGTTTGACCAAGGGTATATTGCTACTAAGTGATAATCATGACTTTCAAGTCTTGGTCCAATACTCTTTTTACTAAATCAGTCTGTTTCATATAATAATGTAGAAAAGCTCAACAGGTGCAGATTTTTTTTTTTTTAAGACAGAGTTTCACTCCGTTGCCCAGGCTAGATTGCAATGGCGTCATCTCGGCTCATTGCAACCTCCCCCTCCCAGGTTCGAGCAATTCTCCTGCCTCAGCCTCCTGAGTAGATGGGATTACAGGTACCTGGCTAATTTTTGTATTTTTGTGGAGATAGGTTTCACCAGGTTGGCCAGGCTGGTCTTGAAGTCCTGACCTCAGGTGATCCACCCACCTCGGCCTCCCAAAGTGCTGGGATTACTGGTGTGAGCCACCAGGCCCGTCCAGGTACAGATATTTTCTGAGATCTCATTCCTAAAATTCCATGGCCTAACCTCCCAGTGCAAACATTCTTCATGACATATTCCCAGCAAATGGTTGTGCAATGTCTGCTTGAATACAATTATAAATAGTGAGCAAAGAATTTCAAATTAAGTTATTCCTTTGGGGAACAGCTCTATTGTAAAATCTTTCATAGTTACCCTCACTGAAATCTGCTTCTCCAACTTCCATTCATTGATCCTAGCTCTGCCTTTTGAGACTTCAAAAAAACACACACACACATATACACAAAACAAAAAAATCACTCAACCTTCATCTTATTTGGAAACCTCTCTCATGCTCTTCTGAATTCTAACTTTTCTTACTTATTAAAGCAAAACAAAGCACAATAAAATTAAAACAGCAGGTAGGGCAAAGACCGTTGGATTAAAAGCTAATTACATCTCTGGTCTAAATACAGTAAGTACATGCTAAATGTAGCATATTAAGATTGATGACTCGAATGTCTATCAAGCATACCAGACTTGGCATGTTCAACACCAAACTGATGTCTTCTCCCAAACCAGCTCCACATGCAGCTTTTTTTCCCCACCTGAATTGATCATATCACCATTCTTCTTTCAGAATCCTCATCAAAAAATCTTGTGAGTCATTCTTGATTCCTTTTTCTTTTCTACTACACATCTCAGAATCAGGAAATCCTGTTGAGACTCTTCCTTCAAAACAAATCCAAGGATCCAACTACTTCTCATCAACTTTAATACCATCACCAAAGGCTGAGTCACCATTATCTTCCACCATGTGAATTATTATAATATCCCCCTACATAGTATGCTTGTTTTCAGCAACCTTTGCTTCCTCCTTACATTCTGCTCTCTATAACGAAAGAAAAGCAATCCTTTCAAAATTTAAATCAGATCATACCATGTGTCTCACTGAAACCTTCCAATAACTTTCTGACCCACTTAGAGTAAGAGCCACGTCCTTATATAATCCATACCATCGGCCTTCCCTTACTTCTCTATCTACTACTGTACTCTCCCCTTCCCTCATTCCAGTCCAGCCACACAGTCCTCCTCACTGTTCCTCACATACAACAGACTCTACCACCAGATGACAGGGCTAACAGAGTTAGCAGGGAGAAGTATGTACATAGGGAGAAGTATATATACAGGGAGAAGGATATATAGAGGGAGAAGTATATAAAACTGAAACCAAACCTGTCCTCTTTCCCTGCTCTTTATTCTTCCATACCAATTATCAGCTTCTAACATAATATACTGATCTTTTATTATGTTTTAAATAAATAAATAAATCCCAATTTATTATGTTTTAGCATCTATCTCCCCGTTTTAGCATCTATCTTCCCTAACTGAAGTAAGCCTCCTAATGGCAGGGACTGTTCTGTTTTGATCACTAGTGTATCTCAAGCTCCAAGAATTAGTGCCAAGGGACATCATAGACACTCAATTGTATTTGTTGCATGAAAAGACCACTGTCTCCCCTTTCCTTTGATTTCCTGTAAAGTATTATTTATCCTACAAATGTGTACACAAATGTATTTCCAGCATGAACCAAGTGACTGCAATCAGAAAGACACTGGGCTTAGCTAGGCAAAAACAAGTGATAAGTAGCCAGGAAATAGGGATTCTACAGACACAAGTAAAGAAGCTGACTACATTCTGTCACAGGACAGCACAATCTACAAAAAATAAATGCAGGAAAGTTTCATGGGCCAATTAATCCATACAATCAACACTGACGTCATACTGAGTGATAAATGGTAAATATTTTTATATTAACAGAAGTACATTGTCACAACTTAAAAAGCAATTCATTTACTGGCCCTAACCCCTTAATGAAGGAATGTTCTTAAAGCCAGGAGAAAGTCCTCCTAAATTTTCTAATTAGAAAGATGACCTATATCTGATGCTATTTTCACCAAATGCTGTATCAGCCCTTATCTACCCACTCATAAGCAAGAATTCTGCCATATTATTACCATTTAACTAAGATTTTGATTTGATTGGCAATACAAACTTTATTAGTCCTTCTATGATCTCTTCTAAAATTGAACCATTGTTGACATTCTACAGTTTAGGCTTTAAAACTACATTCCTAAAATTCAACATGGCTTAAACAACATCCAACTTCATTGTATGCAGTCATAGAACATTGCTATTCTCTTCTATTGGCTAATGACATCAAGCCATCACCCTCCTCCAATCTTTAAAGCAACTCACTTGATTCTTAAAATTAGACCTCTGCAAATTTTATACTTACTTATCATTCAGCACACTATTTAGAGCTATTTTCCACTTGCTAATTTAAAACACTAAAGTAATGTCTCTGGAAGCAAAAGAAACCAATTTTAACATTTAAAATATTATGAGTATAGTTTACGCCAAAGGAGAATACAATCATTCTCTTAAAGCAGAAAGACATTTAGAAGTATATTCTTCAGTCAGGCTAAAACAAAGGTCCTCTCTTGCCTGATAAATCTGACATCTCAACACGAAATTCTGTTCTGGATAATCTGTTTGCAAGGAGATCCCTTGACACTTCCTAACAATAAGGATTTATTGGTATCTTTTGTTTCAACCTCATACTCTTGCTCTATGTGTATCTAACAGGAATCTACATTTGTTATAATGCATATGGTATATGGTATTAAAAACAGTCTCTCAGAAGTCATAATGCACAAAAATGAATGCTGTGAAACTCTCAATGACCTTACTGACTTTATTCTATAACTTCACTCATAAAAAACTGTCCTAGGCCGGGCGCAGTGGCTCAAGCCTGTAATCCCAGCACTTTGGGAGGCCGAGGCGGGTGGATCACGAGGTCAAGAGATCGAGACCATCCTGGTCAACATGGTGAAACCCCGTCTCTACTAAAAATACAAAAAGTTAGCTGGGCATGGTGGCATGTGTCTGTAATCCCAGCTACTCAGGAGGCTGAGGCAGGAGAATTGCCTGAACCCAGGAGGCGGAGGTTGCGGTGAGCCGAGATCGCGCCATTGCACTCCAGCCTGGGTAACAAGAGCGAAACTCCGTCTCAAAAAAAAAAAAAAACTGTCCTAATTCCACTTTTTTATGAGCAAATAAGATCCATAGTATTGGCATTCTCCCTATAGATCTGTTTGCAGTAAGCACAGCTACTTATCACATTCATTTCTATAAAAGCAACAGAGTTAAGATTTTCTTCATCTATAAAGGAAACTTTATGCAGGGCACAAATTTTACATGTTCATAACTACATTTCCAGTGGCTAAAAAATAGTGTCTGGTGCATTTCTGTACTCTATAAATGTTTGTTGAATAAATAAGCTTCTGTTAGAATTTTCAGCATTTGGTAAAGACCACTACTAAAATTATAAATGCAATGTAATATGTGCATGTATTATAAGTTTAATGACTGCAGTAAAAACAAACTGTATTCCAATTTAAATGTCTGGAAAACAAAAATCTCAAAAATAATACAAATAAATATAACAAAAATACTTGGAAAGAAGCACCCTGTTTAGGAACTAAGGATATAAGGAATCAATAGCTAGTTTTCACAGTATCTGGTTTATTTTTTTCTTTTTATTTGTTTCGGTATCTGGTTTAAAAATTCCTTAATGTTAGCAAAATATAGCAAAATTAAATAACATTTTAAGTAATTTTCAGTAAAAACTTATCTGTTTTAGTACTGTTCATTGCCTTAGTCTTCTCCTTAGTAATAAAAATAGTTACAGAGATTCAATTGAATCCTTCTAATTTTGAGACAGTTGAGGCTGAACAGAAAATAGAATTATCTCATTGAGTTAGCCATTACCATAAAGGACAACCTCAAAGTGGCTATTTACTCTGCTTACAAGTTGAAAGTCTAAATAGAAAAAAAGATCATAGCTCTTTTCATTTCATTCATAACTTATTTTTCAAATGTAGAACTAAGAAATTAATCTTTCATTCTACTAAAATAATCCACATAACTATAACAGTGTTTTCATATCGTTCATAATGAATTTAAGAGGCAAGAATCAGCTGCCCAAATGTCTCAGTAAGGCAGAGAGAATGATGTAGGGAAGAAATTACAACACAAATAACGTCAGTAATCTGAAGATAACATCCTTACCTTATCATATTGGCATACAACGACATTTTCTGTGTCAAAAAGTTCCTGTCCTTCCTCATCACTCACATCATCTTCACTATTGAGGGGCTCCTACAAATAAAAGGATAGTTTATTTATGTATTACTATTAGAAGGCCTAATATTCACTGAAAAGAAATATAATAACCTTGATGTTCTTTGAGAACCAAATGCCAAATGCATATATGTATGTCATGAATATAATAGTCAAATCAGCTGTTAAGTTTGCCAGTATTACTTAAATGTAAGAAATTAAATATAATTAAAATAGTTAAGCTATATAGCTTATAAGTCTGGAAAGATGTTTTTGTTTTATTCTTTAAAAACGGTACAAGATAATTCTCCATAGTAACTGTTTAAGATGCCTAGAAGAGGACCTAATATGAAGGTTTAAAAGAGCTAATGGCACTATGTACTACAAACAATATAAAACGAAAAATAGTGGAGAAGTTAGAGGAGAAAAGAAGGGCAATACAATAGGTTACCAGTTTGCCCTAATGTCTTTAGAGAACTTGGACTCTGAATACAAATCAGCATGCTTATTAGCATTATGATGGTCATGGTGGAGGCATGAAGCAGAATTAAGATTCAGACTTTTTTTTTTTTTTCCTTAAAGGCAGGGAGTAGGAAATCTCAGCATTAAAGAGAATTAAGGGCCAAGATAAAACGTAACTAGAGCATAAAATAACCAAACATGTTAAACTTTGCTCCAATTGTGAAAGAAGATAAAAGATGTAACTGAGATTTCTAATAAACAGAGAAAGAGAAGACAAAACAAAAGTAGAGAGAACAATAATCAAGATGGTAGTATGAGAAGCCATAGTGGCTCATGCTTGTAATTCTAGCACTTTGGGAGGCCTGGGTGGGACAATCACTTCAGGCCAGGAGTTTGAGACCAGCCGGGAAAATATAGTGAGATGCCATCTCTACAAAAAATTAAAAAATCAGCAAGATATGGTGGCATATGCCTATAGTCCCACCTACTTAGGAGGATGAGGTAGGAGGATTACTTGACTCCAGGTGGTCAAAGCTATAATGAGCCTTGATCACACCACTGCACTCCAGCCTGGACAACAACCTGAGACTCTTATCTCTCCCAACAACAACAACAAAAAGATTATATCTAGGCCTATGCCTACCTACACACAGGTGTGTATGTATAGATACTCTTTAATTTAAAATAGGTATAATCAAAGTAAAGTGAAAAAAATTTTGAGGTAAACTTCAAGTAACATAAAATTCAACATTTTAACATTTGTAAATGTACAATTCAGGTGCAATGAACATTTATAATGTGTATAACACTCACCACTACCTAATTCCAGAACATTTCATCACTCTTTCCCATTAAGCTGTCACTCCCCATGCTCCCTGTCCCCTGGCAATCAATAGTCTGCTGTCTGTATGGATTTGCCTATTCCGGATATTTCATATAAATGGAATCATATATGTGGCCTTGTGTGGCTATCTTTCACACAGCATGTTTTCAAGGTTCATTCATGTTGTAGCACATATGAATATTTCCTTTTTATGGCTAAATAATATTCCACTGTTACCAGTGCATTCATCAGCTGATGAACATGTGGGTTGTTTATACCATTTTGGATATCATAAATAGGGCTGCTACAATCACATACAGGTTTTTGTTGAAAAACATGTTTTCAGTTCTCTTGTGTATATACTTATATAAGAGTGGAACTGCTGGGTCATATGGATAATTCTATACTTAATTTTTGAGGACCATCAAACTGTTTTCCACAGCAGCTATACCATTTTACATTTCCACCAACAATGCACAAGGGTTCCAATTTCTCCAAATCCTTACCAGCATTTATTTTTTTTCTTGTTTTTTTTTTTTTGAATACAGCTCTCGTAGTAGATGTGAAGTGGTTATATCTCACTGTGGTTTTCATTTGATGCTGAGCATTTTTTCAGATGCCTGTTGGCTATTTGTGTATCTCCTTTGGAGAAATGTCTACTCAAGTCTTTTGCCAGCTTTTAAATTGGGCTTTTTGTTGTTACACTGTTTAAGAGTTCTTTATATATTCTGGATAGTAGATCCTTATAAAATACATGATTTGCAAACATTTGCTCCCAGCTACTCAGAAGGCTGGGGAGAAGGATCGTTCCAGCCTGGGATGTCAAAATGCTAAGGCTGCAGTGAGCCATGATCACTGCACTCCAGCCTGGGCAACAGAGATTCTGTCTCAAAAAACAAAAAATATCTTTTTAATCTACAAAGTCCACTTTTTCTTTGATTGTACTCTGGATGTCATATCTAAGAAACTGCTGCTGAAACTATGAAGATTTACCCCTATGTTTTCTTCTAAGAGTTTTACAATTTCGCTCCTAGAGGTAGGTCTCTAATCTACTTTCAGTTAATTTTTGTATATGGTATGCTGTAGGGGTCCAACTTAACTCTTTTGCATGTGGATATTCAACTGTCCAAGCATCATTTGTTGAAGACTATTCTGTCCCTACTGAACAATCTTGGCTTACATAAAAGTTTCACAAAAAAAAAAAAAAAAAAGCATAAATGGTAATATAAAAAGATAAACCTAAGGCTTACAGATCCAAAATGTTTGAAAAGTAAAAGAATGAAAAAAGCTGTACCAGGCAAATTCTAACCACAGCAAAGCTGGTACACCTCTATTAGTATCACATAAACACTCTTTATGGTTTAAAAAAATTACTAGCAATAAAGAAAGACATTATAAAATCATAAATGGTTCGATGCACTGAGAAAAAACAATGAATGTTAAACTTACATGCACCCATTTTGAAGCTCAAAATATAAAAATAAAAATAGCAGAAGAACAAAAGAAACATATGAACTACCATACTGTGAGATATGAACATATCTCACTCGGTAGTAAAAAATGGATCAAGCACACAAAAAATATCAAAGATACTTAAAGAGCATCTGGGCAAACCTATTGACACTGTAATCTAACACACACACACAAGTACCAAACAAGTGCAGAAAAGAAAATTCTTTTCAAAGCATATACAAAAACTGGCCAAATCAAGGAAGTCTCAAGCAATTTCAAAGGATTCACGCATCACACAGATTATATTCTTTACAAACAAAACAATTAAGTCATAATAGAAATTAATAGAATAGGAAAAAACACACTATAGAGAATAAATCTAAAAGTTTACTCTTTGAACAACATACCCCTGGAAAGACCGAACAAGAAAAAAAGAAACAAATGGCACAATAATTATATTAGGAATGAAGAAAAAGGGAAATGACAACAAATGATTCTGGCATCAAAAAGATACTATCATGATTAACTTTATGTTAATCAACTTGAAAATGTAGATAAATATATAAAGAGCCCTAGAAAAATGTAACTTATCAAAACTGTCTCAAACAGAAACAAAATACTTGAAAGGGCATGAAGATTACTAGATCCAGGTATCTGTAGTGGCATGTTTTAACAATATCAACAAAAAATTAAATACAATCTCTTAAAAAAAAAAAAAAAAAAAAAAAGCTCAAAATAGAGAAAACAAGTCCCCAAAATTGGTTAAAATTGGTTTTATAAAGCTACCATAACCTGACAACCTGGTAAGAAGAGTACGAGAACAGAAAATCAAAGACAGTATCTATCACTCACGAATATCTATGAAAAAGGCCTAAACAAAGTGAATTCAGTAACTTATAGAAAGAGAAATAGAAAATGATCAAGTTGTGCTAACCCAGAAATACAAGATTGGTTTACAAATAGAAAATTCATTAATGAAACTCATTATAAATAATATTACAGCAAGAAATTGTATAATAAATCATTGCAAAAAAAGTGTTGAATTAAATGCAACATTAGCTTACAGTTTAAAAAACAAAGAAATGCAAAGAAGGGAATTTACTAATCTAATAAAGATATCCATTAAAAAAAAAAAACCCACAACAAACATTAGACTTAACTGTGAAGCATGGAAAAGATTACTTTTCAGTTTAAGAATAAGAGAAGGGACCTGCTATAACCATTTCTAATCAATATTGTTCTGGAAGGCTTAGCCAACAAGCCATAAAAAAAACTGACATTCGGCTGGGCGTGGTGGCTCAAGCCTGTAATCCCAGCACTTTGGGAGGCCGAGGCAGGTGGATCACGAGGTCAAGAGATCGGACCATCCTGGTCAGCTTGGTGAAACCCCGTCTCTACCAAAAATACAAAAAATTAGCTGGGCACGGTGGTACGTGCCTGTAATCCCAGCTACTCGGGAGGCTGAGGCAGGAGAATTGTCTGAACCCAGGAGGCAGAGGTTGCGGTGAACCGAGATCGCGTCATTGCACTCCAGCCTGGGTAACAAGAGCGAAACTCTGTCTCATTAAAAAAAAAAAAAAAATTTGACATTTTTCATATAAGATGTTAATATCTACACAGAAGATACAAAAGAATCTACGGATACATTATGAGGACTAACAAAAGATATTAGGAAGGTGGCTGGTTCAAGGATGACTATTAAAAGCTCTCTACATTTCCATACTACCAATAAACAACTGGAAAATGTAATAAAAACATGTTATTTAGAGTCGCAATGAAACTATAAAGAATTTATTGGGGGAATTCTGAAGAAACCCTTCCACACAATAAAACACAAATATCAAATAAATACACAAAAAGAGCCTTTACTCCTTAGTAAGTGAGGAAATGCAAACTAAAACCAAAATGAAATACTATTTTCTACTTACCAGACCAGTAAAAATTAGGAAGCTTGACACTGTCAGGTATTGATAAGGATGTATGGACATCTGCACAATTATGTAATGAATGGCAGAAATGATTTGGGATTTTATTGTAAAGTTGCAAATGTGCATGCCTTGGGAGCCAGAAGTTCACTGTTTAGGTATAAAATTTAGAGAACCTCTTGCATTTGTGACCCCAGAAGACATACACTACAATATTTTATAACTGTTTGTAACAGTAACCAATTAGAAACAATCCTGATGCCCATTGGATTAGAAACACTGAGAAATAAAATTATGGTATATTCTTCAATGAAAATAATTATAGCTATATGCAACAACTTGGATAAACCTCAGGAGTATCACTCTGAGGGAAAAAAAACACTTGCAGAAGAATATATAATTACTTCATTTATGTTTTAAAGATGCAAAATTAAATATGCTATTTAGGAACATAAATATATATGGCAAAATTAAAAAGCAATTAATGATCAATACAAAATGTATGAACAAAGGTACTTTGATGGCCTAGGAAAGAAGATGGGATTAGGAAGAGGCACCTAAAACACGTTAAATAAAAGCAGATTTTATTTTAACTAGATGGTGGGTACTAGGATTATTTATATCTTGAAACATTTCTGTTAATTTGTGTCTATTCAATATTCAATAATAAACTTTTTTTTTTTAAGTTACTTAGATAATTTAGAACCTTGTACTAAGAAATAAGAAGACTGCATTTTAGGCCAAACAAGGCAATTAACAATGAAAACTGAGGTGGGACAAAATTTTTTTGGAGACTAGTAAGTAAGCTAGAATAACTTTGGGGAAAAGAAAGGTGTATTTATATGCTTCTAGAAGAACACAGACATTAAGGGGACATAGGTTTTTAAGGAACTGGTACGAAAAGTGGACCATAAAGTTTTAAATATTTAATAAAACTGTGAAATTTAGTTCTTCTTGAGTTTGCTCTCTCCCCAAATGTTGCCATGCTTTTTAAATTACTGAAGCAAAAGATTAACCACATCTATTTTTCTATCAGTGTCTTATGTTTAAGCTACATTATAAATGCATAAGCCAGAGTTAGAATTACTTGTACTCTTTACTACACATATTAATGCAATTTAATTTGGTATACATTTTTATTACCAGCTATAAGAAATCATGAAATAAATATAGTTAGAATATAAAAATCTTACTAAAGTTAAAACAATCTTTAAAATCTTATGTTACATAGCACCTAACAGTCTCTGAAAATATAGGATATAATTTATCAGTTTGGCACCAACTAAAAAAGGAAATGACTGAGTAGATTATCATTTTAAGTATTTAACTAGAAACGTACTTCTTCCACCTGCCCATCTTCAGCTCCATCTTTCTCTTTGTCTTCCTCCTCATCATCATCATAGTCTTCTTCTTCATCTTCATCTTCTTCAGATGACGTATCCCCAGTTCCATCAACTTGTAAGACCAATGGAGCTTGTGTTTGAGCAGGCTGGGCCTGTGGTTGCTGCTGGCCAGTTGCAGTTATCTGTGCTTGGGCTGGTGTAGGTGCTGCCACTGTCGTAGGTATAACTTGAGTCTTATTTCCTGTAAATAAGATTTGCTGAGGCTGAATGATGACACCTGTCTGTGGTGAAATCCCTCCAGGAAGAGGAGCCAGTACCTAAAGCAAAAGAAAACCACATAATAGTAACTAGTTAAGAGGATCAAGTATGGTATATAGAAATAGGACCAAACGCTGAAGAATCACCAGAAATGGCCATATTGCATACACAATTAAAACTACCCAATTACAAAAGCAATCTTTAACTAGTGTACTGACCCACTAAACTTCTATTTTACCAAATTTCTGGAAAATAAGGATTTTCTAAAGATAATTACTTCACCTCATTTATTCAGCACATAATATGTACATGCCAGATACCAGGCCAAGAGTTGAACACTGCCTTTATATGAGGAACACTGGACTGAGAATCTGAAAACCTGGGTCTACTTTTGTCTAAGGTCAGACATAGATACAGCAGAGGCAAGTCATTTAATTCCTTTTGGCCTCCGTCATTTCAATGTTAGACTAGGATCAAAGTTCTTAACCCTGGCTGCAAAATAAGAACCACCTGGTAGCTTAAAAAGTATTGATAACTTGGTCATACCCCTAATATTCTAACTCAGTGTAAGGTAAAAGCTAATTATTTTTCTAAAAACCACCAGATCAGATAATTTCTTAAATTCCTTCCCAGGTTCTGCATCTAAAATTCTAAAGTAAGCCACAACTTACTAACAAATATTAATTCTATATATTATAATAAAGAAGAACTTGATACTTTTTACCTGCCATTAGGTTCAAGGAATGCAAACATAAGACATAGTATTTCTTTTAAAACACTTACACGTGGTTTAACAGTTCAAAAGACCAAAAAAAAAAAAGGTACAATAGGCAAACAAAGCACTAACAACTCAAAAAGACAGGAGACATAGTACAAATATGACACAGTATTATGGGACCACAAGAGAGGGTACGAAATCCAACTTGGGGGACAAGGCATGATCAAGTATTACTTGTATCATTAGCAAGTAATACTTGAGTTTCTGTTTGTGATTTATGGCAGCAGTTCCCAACCTGTTAGAAACCAGCTGCACAGCAAGAGGTGAGCGAGGATTACCATCTGAGCTCTGCCTCCTGTCAGATCAACGGCAGCATGAGATTCTCATAGGAGCACAAACCCTACTGTGAACTGCACATGCGAGGACAGAGGTTATGCACTCCTTGTGCTTGATGATCTGAAGTAAAAGTTTCACCCTGAAACCATCCCCGCTGCCCCATGCGTGGAAAAGCTGCCTTCTGCACAATCAGTCCCTGGTATCAAAAAGCTGGGGGACCGATGCTCTAAGATTAGCCGGGTTTTTTATGTTTTATTTGTTTGGAGGACGTGCAGGGAGTTGCCAGACAGCATTCTTAGGAGAAGAGTAACAACAAGTGAAACCTAGAAGTGACAGCAGTATGTAATTTTGGAAGGATGCAAATAAACTGGATTAATACTACTGCTCTGATCTTGTCTCTATCATCATACTATTTTATTGACATTTTAAAAGGAGGCAGACACATAAACAGTACATAAGTTCCTCAAGAAAACAACCATCCCTCTTTCATTTTAGTGCTCACAGCACAAGAATATAATGCAAGTATATCCAAGTGTTTATTTTGATGCAAATGTAGCTAAAGAATGTACCTGGGAGCATGGCAAGAAATAAACTTGGAGAGTACAAAGAAACAAGATCCACAAAAAGATCTTATTAACATTGAGTTGTTTAGGCTTCTTCCAGAACGCAACGGGAAGTTGTTAAAAGGTTTTTTTAGAAAGACAGGCCAGGCACGGTGGCTCACGCCTATAATCCTAGCACTTTGGGAGACCAAGGCAGGTACATTACCCGAAGTCAGGAGTTCAGGGCCAGCTTAACCAACATGGTAAAACTCCGTCTCTATTAAAAATACAAAAATTAGCTGGGCACAGTAGTGCATGCCTGTAATCCCATCTACTTGGAAGACTGAGGCAGGATAACGCCTGAACCCAGGAGGCGCAGGTGGCAGTGAGCTGAGATTGCACCATTGCACCATTGCACTCCAGCCTGGGCGACAGAGACAGACTCTATCTAAAAAAAAAGAAAGAAAGAAAAAGAAAAAACAGAAAGATGGCTATAAATCAGTCAGGTTAGGAGGGCACAAGATAAGAGGCAGAGACAATACCAAAACATGGAAAAACTGCAGTTAAAAAAAAAAGATACCTTGGATATTAGAGATAAGGAAAAGGAAGATTCCACACACTCATTTCCAGAATACAGAATAAACATCATGAAACTAGAGTCATGTCTGCCTCATTCACTCCTAAATTCCTTGACCAGATACCTTGGATATTAATAAGGAAAAGGAAGATTCCACACACCCATTTCCAGAATACAGAATAACCATCATGAAACTAGAGTCATGTCTGCCTCATTCACTCCTAAATTCCTTGACCCTTGTGAATATCCTTAGACTCAGTAACTGCTTATTGAATAAAGGCTGAATGACCAGGTTAGGAGGCTGGAAGGAGAGTGCTGCCACATTCAAGGGGATGATGACGGATGGGCAGACACAACAATAATTGTTGTTTAATAGATGCTGAATCTAGATTAAGCTGTATACAGGAGAAATTCGAAACAACAGGGTCTGTAGTACTGAAGAAGAGTCTAAGAAATCGTGCATATAAGGGGAGGGGAACTACCCAGGGAATATATATAGAAGAAAAGAGAACCCCCTACCGATCATAATAGAAGATTATTTTACCTGCTGAATAACAGGAGCTTGTACTCCACCAGGCTGCATTTGTGGTATAACCTGTTGTTGTAGAACCACTGACTGCTGAGGCTGAAAGATATACTGGGCACCATTGGCTGCTCTGACCACCTGAAGAAGCTGGCCTAAAGCAAAAAGCATGTATTCCAAGTTATCATTTTAGCAGTGACCATCTCAAAAGAAATTAATTCACATTTAATTTCAAACCACCCAAGGCACAAGAAATTATCAAGTAGGAAAACTAACAATTTTATTAAAGGCCATTGTCCATACACAGTACAGTATGCTATAATCCTTCCCTTCTCTGACTTCTCACCATGTTCAAATACATTCCTTAAAATGTTTCATTTTTCATATTGACATCCTCATTCAGCTATTTCCAAGAATGTTTTAACAAGAGATTATGAGACTTGACTAGAAGCTTACATTATCTCTGCTAACATTAGGAGTCAAGAAAGAGCAGTAAGATCAGACACATCAGGAGCTGTTCATTTTTAAAGCTTTAAAGGAACAAAGGCTTAACAGTTCATTTCATATCTTGAGCCGAACAAAGCACCACAATAATTTGCTTCAAAGTTGGTAAAAACAATAAAATTTTGCTGAACCAGTCAGTTATCATCATTGTCATACAATTCACACAGAATCAAATTTCCCCAATATGTTCCTTTAGATGACCCAGAATCCTGAATTGATTAAAAAGCAAATTACATCTTATTAAAATATGTAGCAAGACAAGCCCCTAATTTCACAAATTTACAAATTAACAAAAATAACATACATATATAGAACAGAAAATAAATAGTAACTATATAATCAAGATTACAGGAGACACTTAAAATCCATGAAAATAAATTTTTCAAACACTAACATGCCAAAACACATGAGCTAGACATTGGTCTTTTGTCAATAAAGAGATACTATGTGTAACAGCATACAATAAATTTTCTCTTAATATACTCTAGTATAATTAGTTTGATATCACAAGTTAAAGTAAAAATACTCACTTGGCACGTTAAATGTGTTTAGTAAAAACCTAAGTAAGCATTTTTATATAATCATACATCAATAATAGGGTTCTCATGTACAGATCAAAGGTTCAAGTACAGTTTTCATCTTCTTTACTGTATCCTCAACAATGATTACAGTTGTGTTACAGCCCTTAAATAAAGTTATGTTAATAATCTAAACCAAATGGTAAAAGAAATAGTATTTTCCATCTTTCAAAGAAGATAAAAACCTAAGGGCTAGATAGTACAATTTTCTAAATTATATTTTAAAATGGTTCCATCATTCCTAATTACCTGAATTTGTTAATATCTGCTGAACAGGAGTCACACCTGCAGGGAGTGCTAAGGTAGCAGCTGTAGCAGCAGCACTCTGAAAAAAAAAAAAGAAAAAATATCAAAACCACATATATATATAATACTATCTGTTTATCTCTAGCATATTTTATTAGTAGATGATTTCTGTTTAGAATATACCAAAATTTTAAAAAAATCTAGTAAGAACTGCCATTTTATAAAACGGTACAAGAAAGACCAACCTAGTCTTAATGACCTACAAATTATTTTAAGCAATTAAATAAAACAATTGGGTTTTATTTCCCGTAGAGACGGTGCTCTAAGGAATCCTCACAGGTACTGTAGCTTTTTTTCCTTCTTGTCCTATCAATACTCTTTAAGGTACCTACCCTTCCTATACTCAATCTAACCTATACATTTTTAGTCAATACCCACAATTAACACTACTGTAAAATACATGAAATAACTATTTCATCGTTGCTTTCTTTCTCACTGTTCCCTTATCCCCATTTCCTTGAGGTAAAAGTATAATTGTCTTCTTTCTAGAATTCTTAACTTTTAAAATTTCTACTAAAATCAACAGATATCTACAGAGAACACCATCAGAAGACTTCACTGGGAGTATAGCTGACAATTCTTCTAAGATGTCATATTAGCAAAGACAAAAGGGAGATATTGGCATTATACTCTAGGTGAAACATTTATTAATGACAGATTAATACAAAAAAACTCTTTAAAGCTTAAGAAAAGTCATACCAGGTGCAGTGGCTCACACCTGTAATTCCAGTAATTTAGGAGGCCTAAATTGCTAGAGCTCAGGAGTTTGAGGCCAGCCTGGGCAATATGGCAAAACCTTGTCTCTACAAAAAATACAAAAATTAGCTGAGCAAGGTGGTGCACACCTGTAGTGGGAGGATTGCTTGATCCTGGAAGTTGGAGGTTACAGTGAGCCAAGACTGTGCCATTGCACCCAGCCTGGGTAATAGTCATAAACTTTAATTTCTACATTTAAAAATGAAGTTTGTATGTGACACTTAAGTTATAAAGATATAGATGGGATTATATTCTGAGTTTCTTTAAATCCAGGACAAATTCTTGACTTCCTGCTTCTGGAGAGTTTTCTCCTTCTGCCCTCCCACAAAGAATTATACCATTCTCTGGTTTTTTATTCTGTGCTTCAAGCATTTGCCTGTATCCCACTATAGCTATACATTTAGGTAGTCTGGTTTTCTTTTCCCCCTATCTTTTCAATCTTGTTTAGGTACCAATCATTCATACATTCAATCTAACCTATACATTTTTAGAACTACACATATCTGGATAAGCTTAAAGAAATATAATGGCCTTGGAAATGCTAGTTTCAGAGAAGTCAACAAACTTGGAAAATTATTAAACTGGGCTAATAATTCTACTGTCTAGCCTGGGCTCTAGGTATATAGCTTTCCAAGAAAATACACTTGTTATCACTTGACAAATGTAAGTGATATCTACATCTTGGGCCTGAAAGTCCCACGATATCTCCAAAATTTAACTATAGGCCACCAGGTTGATCCATGTTTAAGCTGGATACTCAATTATCTAATTTAAGATAAATCTTGTCTGTATAAGCAAATTAAAAGTTATCTAAGTTTAAGGAAAATATTAACAACCACATACTATTAAGCAATATTATTTAAAAAGAAAAAAAGAAATATTAAGAAATATTAAGGGCCTATAATTCATATTTTATAAGGTAACAATTCACCCTCTACCAGCAAACTGACATAGTAGTTTCTATAGTACTTCCTATATAGTATACATGACCCAATAACTACTTGCACGGCCTCCACAAATTCAAGTTGCATAACAGATATTTGCTGAGTCATGTACCACACACAAACCACTTTATACTTAATAACTATTAAAATTTTTTCTTGTATTCCACAAAACAGCCCAAAGAATAATGCATTACACCAATCATCTCACAAAAAAGAACCAGAAACAATGGTTTAAGTTCCCTGAAACAGCCTTTTACTTATTACTATCTCGCATTTTTATGAATTATATGTTCATTTCTAATGTAAACAGAGCCATTAGAAAGAATAAAAATGTTTTTGCTGAGTATTTCTGAATCAGAAATAATAATGTAAGCCCAAAAAAACCTAGAACACTTTTATTGGTACAGAGCCTATACTGATTATGCTTCAGAAATACATGAAGGAAACACTGAGTAAAAACCACCAAGTAAAATGCAAATCAATCAGAAATGTTAAATCAATTCTCCTGAATAACTGACCTATGATTTGTTTAAATACATATGCTCTTTAGAATAAAGGAGACTTAACCAGTAAGGGATGGACCACTGATTTTTATCCTAGAAATAACTTATTAATTCAAAAATCTCTTCCACAACATTTACAATTCTTTTAGAGGGGCCTACCACAAGAGATTCTGCCAACATTTGTTTTAAAATAATGCAAGTTATTCCCTAGGATATAGTCTTAATAACATCAACTGCAATATGCACTGTATAGTGAGACTTTGTTTTATATAAAAGTGGAGGTTAAAAAACACTGGGGCTTTAGACTTAAAATGGAGTTTTTTCTTTTTTTTTTTTTTTTTTTTGAGGCAGAGTTTCGCTCTTGTTACCCAGGCTGGAGTGCAATGGCGCGATCTCGGCTCACCGCAGCCTCCGCCTCCTGGGTTCAGGCAATTCTCCTGCCTCAGCCTCCTGAGTAGCTGGGATTACAGGCACACGCCACCATGCCCAGCTAATTTTTTTTGTATTTTTAGTAGAGACGGGGTTTCACCATGTTGACCAGGATGGTCTCGATCTCTCGACCTCGTGATCCACCCGCCTCGGCCTCCCAAAGTGCTGGGATTACAGGCTTGAGCCACCGCGCCTGGCTAAATGGAGTTTTTTCTAATAAAAAACATTGTGAGAGTAACAGGCATGAAATTTTTTGATTTTCATGTAAATGAATTGGTTCTAGTAACTGTAACTACAAGTACAAATAGAGATCCTTGTATTTGTGAATTTTAAAATTGCAATTTCTACCATCATGTAGAAACTTTCAATTTTGCCAAGGTATAAATTTGTGAGACTGGTAATGTGTAGGAAGAAGTCATTTGTCTAGTGGGTAAGCCCTTTTATCTAGCTTATAATCACAAATGAGCTTTGTGATTCACTATCACTCCCAAAGTAGAGCTGATTTTTCCATATACTGTTTTTTGGTTAAAAAAAAAAATCTTGGTGCGGCCGCCATTGCTCCACCCGTACACTGCACCCTTCTATAGAAGTAAACTGCCTTGTTGAGAAGATTTATCTTCAAGTGCTATTTCTTTTGCAGCACCAAAATTTTACTTCTAACAATTCTAGGGGCTTGACCGAGATTCACTGTTCTCCTCCAGGCAGTCTTGGACCCTCTCTCATGAGGGGATGCGTCCTGCTGCTTCAGTTTGCAGCAGCCTCGTAGGTAAAGAGTTGAGACCTACCCGATGTGACAAACAAGCCTGGCCTCTCAGCAATGCAGGGGCGGTGGGGGAAGGCCTATGAATACTGTGGCAACTAAGCAACTCTGTGCACAGACCAAGAAAAAGACACTGTGGGGATCCAGTAAAGTATTTCCTTGGTGGTCGGGACCAAGATGCCACCCTGAAGTTTCCGGTATACCAGCACCAGCCTGGAGACCACTCTACCTCGTGCTGCTAGCCACCAAGACTGCCATTCATACAGCAGAAAAGAAAGCACCATCACCATTAGAATCATGGGCTATTGTCCCAGGATCAGACCCTACCAAGTTAAAGTTGAGAAAAACCTAGTCTACCTTTTTTTTTCTTTTCTTCCCTTCACTCCCCATCTTGTTATAATGTAATTAGATCTGGCTCACCTCAAGTTGTTGCTTTAACATGTGATTAGTTATGCCCTGTAGAGATGTGCATAACCAAGGGCAGCTTGCTGCTTCCGGAAGAATGTCTCTGTCCCTCTTAGACTTCCTCATGTTAGGAAGATAAGATGAGTTCCTCTAAGGATACTAGTCATCCAGGAATAATAATAGCCACATTTGTAATTGGTAGGATCAGACTCTTGTCCCTCTAAAACAGAATCTCTATGTTGTGCTTAGTCTAATGCCATATCAAACACTAAAGGTTTAAGACAGACTGCTTCCACAGGTCTCTGTCAGTCCTCAAAACTATATATCCACTTCACCGAAGGAATTACTCCTTCTAGCAGTCAATATAACCAATGAAATCCTATACCACTTACTGTTGTTACTACAACATCTAGAAACTCTTCCCCTTCATTAAGTTGTATTTATGGTAGAGGAGCTGACATTTCAGGAAAGAATCCTAAAGAAATTTTTGAAATGTTTACTGCTCCTTCAACCTCTTTATCAACCACTCCTCCTAGACACAATGACGAAACCAAAAGTCTCAATGGTAGAAGTAGGTGACCTAAGGCAAACCATAGCCACTGCAACAGGATATAAGGATGCAAATCCCTGAGAAGAATGGATTAAGTTTAATTCTTGTGACTGTCACACTTGTGTGCACAGTAGGCCAGAAGCCCAGGTTCTCCCCTTTCCACTTGAATGGTCCCCATATCAAGCAGACATGGAATGCTTAGTAGTGCTTTCTCAGAATTCCAATGACTGGAATAACAAATTGTGCCAAGTTCCTTCACTGCTATTTCCTGAGGTTCACCCCACGGGTCAACCTGAGGGCCATACAGCCTCCATCTTCCAAGGCAAAGTTCGACACGTGTCTGTCACGACAGGAGGGCAAACTTACTGTTCCTTGGAAACGTAACAGGATGCAGTGAAGTCAGGCACTTCCAAGAGCTGGCGCATCAGTCCGCCCTTACTCATCCCCGAGCGGATGGATAGTGGTATTGTAGAGGACCTTTACTGGACACTCCGCCAAATAACTGGAGTGGCACTTGCACTCTAGTCCAATTGACTATCCCCCTTCTACGCTGGCATTCCATCAACCAAAGAAAACGAAATCACAACAGCAAATAAGAGAACCTCCTTATAGGTCTTTTGATTCTCATGTCTATTTAGATGCAACTGAAGTTCTTTGAGGAGTACCACATAAATTTAAAGCCCGAGATCAGATAGCTGCAAGGTTTAAGTCAATGTTGTTCTGGTAGGTAACAATTTTAAAAAAAAAAATTGTAAATTAAACAAACTACATGTATTACAACCAACAGTGGTTTGTTAACTATACTAAAGATGCTGTCAAAGGAACAGCTGAACAATTAGGATTCATGAGCCAAATGGCCTAAGAAAACAGAAAAACAGAATAGCCCTACATATGATATTAGATAATTATACTTCTTGTTAGATATTATGTCACACCATGCATCCAAGGACTTGTGCAGAGTCTAGTAGACATAACTCTTACTAAAATATCCCCAACCCTTCATCCACTCTATTCAGACAGATTACTTCTTTTAGAAGAACAAACAGAACAACTAAGCTAAGACATGTTAAAGAAGTTTGAAAAGGAAAAAAAAACTGTAAAAATTCAACATAGAGGATTGTTATAGTGAACCCCAAGTTTCTCTTCAAAGAATCAGTATGTCAGCATGTTTAGCTCTCTTATTCTTTAATACTCTATTGTAAAGCTTAAGTTCCTTGTAATTCCAGTAAACAACCTTCTTCATCGGTTCTAATCAGTAGTTCACATCTGCTCCCTTCATCCCCGGTTTCATCCTGACTCATCTTGGTCACTTGATCCCTGGCTACCTGCTCTGACAAGCCCAAAATCATCCTTCTTGCCAAAACACCCACCCTGCCATTCCAGCTCCTATCCTATTTTATCTTTTAAAAATATTTTTTGTTTTATCTTTTTAAAATAGCCAATTGGGATTATTCTAGCTTGTGTGGACTAACCCTAAACAATAGGGGATGACACGGCAGCAGGGACGGCCCCCGTCAGGCATAAGTACCTATTCCCCACTTGTCCAAGCTTGTAGCCACCATTACCCCATCCATACGCTGCACCCTTCTACAGAAGTAAACTGCCTTGCTGAGAGAACTTAAAAGAAAAAAATTCTTGAGGCTGAGTGTGGTAGCTCAAGCCTGTAACCATAACACTGTGGGAGGCTGAGGAAGCTGGATCACTTGAGGTCAGGAGTTCAAGACCTGCCTGGCCAACATGGTGAAACCTCGTCTCTACTAAAAATACAAAAAATTAGCAGGGTATGGTGGCACACACCTGTACTCCCAGCTACTCAGGACGCTGAGGTGGGAGATCACTTGAACCTGGGAGGCAGAGGTTGCAATGAGCTGAGATTGCACCACTACACTCCAGCCTGGGTGATAGAGTAGGACTCCACACCCCCCCCCCAAAAAAAAACAAAAACAAACAAACAAAAACTTGAACCAAAAAAAGAAACAAACCCATTCCTAGTACTAACTAGTTACATAGGCTAAAAGATCTTTTTACAAATATTGATTCTTTCACCTTTAAAGAAAAGTTTTGGCTGAAAAATGAAATGTCAGAGCTGAATCACCACTCTATGCAATTAACAGTCTGTATATTTTAAACAAGCTAAAACCATTCATAAGGAAGTTCTGAACTACTCTAATCTGACTGTATTTAATGTTTTATTTTAAAAAAATAATAACTTCCAGGACATCGGTAAACATTTTCTAAGGATCTGAAGAGGTTCTTTCATTTTTACAGTTAAACTATATTATATTTGATGAAAAATATTTTATGTCTGAAATGTAATTTGAAAATATGAATGAGGACTTGTGAAGCTGAGTGGATAGTCTTCAGAAATATAAAAATTCTAATGTAACTCAACTGGTTAAAATGTATTCTTCGGTAATTTACACACTATAATGCCTTACTAGACTATACTATGGTTAAATCAGAGTAGCATTTTAAAACTCTTGATTTTAAAAATAGTTATACTTAACTATCCAAACAGTTCGTCTTCATTTTTTAGAAGTTCACAATTCTTAGCCTTCCTGATCTTTTGCAATTACAAGGTCTCCCGAAACAGAACCACACTTGGCATTGTAGGTTTGGGAGGTCCTGTAAAACTTTTTCAGAAATAGTAGGGAATACAGTAACTTTCACAAAGCACCAGTCTTTTGGTATGTTTAAACAAAGAACTCCACAATTTTATGAACCTTAATGTCTAAGTACCAAGCCACAAACTTCAGGTCCAATATTCAGGAAATTAAAACAGCTGCTTTGCTCAAGTCTTTAATAAACTTGAAGTTGTTAATATATGATGACACACATAGGCATAATCACAATTTGTGTTAGAATTAAGTACAGCCAATCAAAGGGCTATATTCTGACTCTTACCATATTTGACGCATTCATATGCTGTATCAACTTAGAATCTGGAACAATAACTTGTGGTGCTGTGGCTACAAAAAAGCACACATGCAAACAAGGAATCATGAGGCTATTTTATAATCACAAGAACACTTTACATACAATTATAAATTTTTTTTTTCCATGTTTTCCACATTTTCTGTACTCAAATGCTTTCAATCATTTGATCTCAGGACGTTATAAATTCTATGACAAATAACAGCTGTGATATACCTACTTAATAATTAAAAAATATTTAAGGCCAGATGTGGTGGCTCACACTTGTAATCACAGCACTTTGGGAGGCCAAGGTGGGCAGATCACCTGAGGTCAGGAATTTTTTTTGAAATCTACATAGTCCTTTTCTCCCAATATGACAGTTGACAGACTCATGCTATTTTCATCAGCTGTTTAAAAACTACAAATCAGCCGGATGTGGGGGCACACACCTATAGTCCCAGCTACTCAGAAGGCTGAGGTGAGCCCAGGAGTTCTGGGCTATAGTGTGCTATGCCCATCAGGTGTCCAACTAAGTTCGGCATCAATACGGTGACCTCCTAAAAGCAGGGGACCACCAGGTTGCCTGAGGAGTAGTGAAGCAGCCCAAGTTGGAAAAAATACAAATCAGAAATAATGGCAATGTTAAACGGAACGAAATGTTTGATTCTGCAAATTTCAGAGAACAGATGGATAATCCCATTATCCTAATAACTCTCTGAGTGAAGAAAATCAAATTTTAATTTATGATGACCTAAAATCCTAATGCCAGGTCTGAAGGCAACAGGAGGAACAGTCATCAAAAAATATTAAAAGAACAAAATTATTTGATACAAAGTATACATTAAAATCAGGTATGAAAAGTACTACTCTATGTCAACAGTAAAATAAACCAAATAGATGTTTCTACTATTCATCATTATTAAAGATACATATGTATACAGGCAAATGAGTAACCAAACGATTACATTAAGATAAACTTTCCATTTATTTCTAGTCTCCTCTCCCATGAAACCAGATGCACTGAATTAGAATGCTCAGCAAGTTTTATAACTGAATAAATGTTTGTCATGAGAGAAAATACAGAGCAAGTTTCTTAGCCTTTTCCGGGCTCAGATTTTCCTGAGCTGTGAAATTGAGCCAAGGGGTATTTTACAAAGCCTGCATAAGGTGCCAATAAAACAGTATCTATAAAATGACTTGCAGAGTATAAAGCACTATGGATATAGTCTATAAATAGCTACCCTTTTTTTTTTTTTTCAAGATGGAGCCTTGCTCTTGTCACCCAGGCTGGAGTGCAGTGGCGCAGTCTCAGCTCACTGCAACCTCTGCCTCCTGGGTTCAAGTGACTCTCCTGCCTCAGCCTCCTGCATTGCTGGGATTATGGATGTGTGCCACCATGCCCAGCTAATTTTTGTATTTTTAGTAGAGACAGGGTTTCACCATGTTGGTCAGATTGGTCTCAAACTCCTGACCTCATGATCCGGCCTCCCAAGGTGCTGGGATTACAGGCATAAGTCACTGTGCCTGGCCAATATTTGCTTTTTCTTAGCTTTAAACCAAGTAATATAAATTAAGATATGTTATATATCCACTCTTAAAGTAAATCTAATTCAGTACATTTGGGCTTACATAAATTACTATGGAATTGAATTTTCAGACTGCTAAAGTATACAAGACTCCAGAGTTTAAGATATATTTTTAAAACTAATCTGAAACACGTCTTTGAAAGAACATGTTTTCCAAAGAAAGCAAACAACTCTTTTACCATATAAAATAATAAAGCCCTTAAATCTAAAAAAATAAACCTTTCAGATTTCACTTAATTTAGGAAATCCATCATTACACAGCCTTTTCAAAACAAAGTATTAATACAACTTCTCTGAATATCATTTTAAGCTTTCATTTAATAAGTCACTTGTCTACCATTACTCTACAGATGACAGAACCTATATTTTATACAACTCTATATACATTTACATACACACACCCCTCAGCCAAGAGAAAAGGGAAAAAAGCCCAAAATCAACATAGGGTTTTTTGTTGTTGTTGTTTGTTTATTCTTAGGTTCTCCATGACCCCCTTAAAAAACAAGATCCAAGAAATGCAGAATATTTCTCTTCTTTCAAAATGACAAACTTAATTTTCAAGTCGTAAGTAGGAAAACGAATCCAGTCTCACCTTGCTGTGATGCGGGAATAAGGACCTGCTGGGTCTGTGCTTGCTGAGGTACCGCCTGCTGAGGCTGAGCTTGCTGATGGTGGTGATGGTGGTGATGCTGCTGCTGCTGGGGTTGATGCTGCTGTTGAACTTGCAGTAGAAGCTGCTGCTCTTCTGAATGAAATCCATCTACTGCCCTGGACTGCATTAGTTTATTTTCCCATAACTAAGGCAAAGAACATTAAAGATTTCTAAGTGGAAGATAAAACAACTTTGGACAGATGAACACAACAATTTTATTAATCTATTTATAAAATTATTCCATTTTAAAAACTGATACAGACACAAAAATACAACCAATCTATAATTCTAACCCAAGTGTAAACAACAGCAAAAACAAAATTTTAAAGCATCAAACCTTGTTTTTGCCACATCAGAGTACTGGAGAATTTTGTTTCTTTTTATATTTTCTTTTATTATTATTTTTTTTAATTTATTTATTAATAAATTAAGTTCTGGGGTACATGTGCAGAACGTGCAGGTTTGTTACACAGGTATACATATGCCATGGTGGTTTGCTACATCCATCACCCTGTCATCTACATTAGGTATTTCTCCTAATGCTCTCTCTCCCGTATTCCCCCCACCCCCTGCTATCCCTCCCCTAGCCCCTCATCCAAACTTTCTATAGTAATTCCTTAACCATCAGCTAATACTGAGCAATGAGTTTCACGTAAGTAACTTCTTTAGTAATCAAAGATTATCCTTTATAATATCAAAACCATTACTCAACTATTTTCATATACATTTTCCTTATAAAAATACAAAATATAAAATGTTCTTCCTCAACATGCAAAACATAAATTCTTAAGTAACATACAAATCATAAATTCATTTAGAACAATGGAAACATAGAGGCAACTGCCTGAAGTAGAAAAGCCCAACTTTCCATCTGTCCAAACCTACACAAAGAAAAAGAACCAGCAATGCCCAAAGCTCACTGGTTGGTTATCCCAACGTTCCACACTTCTTGAAATTTCCTTCTTTCTTCCATTAAGCCAAGAATTGGCAATCCTTTTATGTTTAGCCATTTCTATTTTCTCATTTCACCTTAGGTTCTATGATGAGAAAAATCATAATGGACAAAAACAAAGAAAAGATGTTCAATGATTTCATTCTTCTACCTAACATTTCCTCTCTACCAGCTTTAGTGTTCAATCTGGAGCCTCAACCTTAAAAGAAATTGCCCAAAAAGTCACAAACTATTCCCTGAAAATACAGATGAAACTTCATTCAGTCATTCTGCAAACAAGGATCTACATCTACTTTGTTTTCTCCTCCAGGATTTGCTTTTGGGATATTTCCTTATTGACCTGAGGCTTCTATCAGATCCTTCCAGAAGTTCCCTTTGCCATACTCACAGAGAGTTTATTTTATTTTTAATTTTAGAAACAGAGACAAGGTCTCACTATGTTGCCCAGGCTGGTCTTGAACTCCTGGGCTTAAGCAATCTGCCCACCTCAGCCTCCCAAAAATCTGAGATTACAGGTGTGAGCCACCACGCTTGGTCATACTCATAAGAGATCTTTTATAATCTCCTGACCTTTCCAATCATTCCAGACATTCTAGATTTGTTGTCTTGATGCTAGTTAACAATTCAACTAAATCTCTAATGACTTACTGAAAAAGCATATGTTAAGGTCAATTTCCCAGAGTCCTACTGGCAGGCCCAGTATTTAGACTTACCTGAAGTCTATTCTTAGATGGTAACAATACCTATCTCACTGGTTGCTGAGAGGATTAAATGACAATATCCATGTAAAACAATTATCAGAGTGTTATATAAAGTTAGTAATCAAAATATATTATTATTGGTGGCAACGGTGGTGGCATTAACTGTTTAACAGAGCCTTATACCAGAAGTCAGGAACCCAGTTAGTCCTGGTTTGGCCATTTATGTAACCAAATCATTTATCTTACCTAGGCATCTTCTTCAGCTAAAAGGGGGAACCAACTGAATTAAAGTACTTCTAAACTCACTTCCAGTGAATAAATTTAAGTCTAATCCCAGACAAAAGACAGCAAGCTTCTTCCCGTAGTAACAAGAACTACTTTTTGAGAGCCCATGTTGTATCTGATTCATCTCTGTAAAGTGGGCATCCAGCACAGCACACCATCAAAATAGATACTCATATGCTAAATAAAACACATTATGACTAATGTATTATATATAGTAAGGCTTCCAAACACTCTGTTATCACCCAAACCTTCTACATCTTCTCCTCTCTTCCAAAACAAAGCAAACCCTAGTTTCTTGTAAGCCAAAAATCAAGGTGAAAAAAAAAAAGTTCTATTAATATTTTCTTTAAAAAGTTTTTTAAATAATAATTTTCTAGATTTTGTTTCACTTTTATCACCTCCAACCAGTTTACCCACAGCAATCTGGACCCATTACATACTTCAACAAAGCTCCTATGATAATGACAAATATTAATGAATACACATCATGTGTGGCTAAGTACTGGGCACCATGACTCACCTAGAGTCTCATGTAAATGACCTAGGAATCAAAATCCACCCCAACAGCCCACCGTTACTGTCTACTCTGATTCACTTTTTCAATACATCGCTATCGTATGGCCCTGGCCCTTTCTGCCCAGCAGTACTGCAAACAGTAGTGATGTAGTGACTGAGCTCTTGAGTTTCCTGCATCAAGTCATGCAGTCCACAAATAATTCTGTCCAATATACCAAATACTGTTATAGGGATTGAGAAGATACAGTAAACAAACCTCACAAAAATCCTCAACCTTACAGAGCAGACATTCCAGTGGAAACCTGCCCTTCCAATCCATCCTCTATAAACCAGCGATCCTCAAAATGCAGTTGTAGACCCAACATCAGCATCACCTGGGTACTTGTTAAAAATACTGAATCAAGGCCGGGCGCAGTGGCTCAAGCCTGTAATCCCAGCACTTTGGGAGGCCGAGGCGGGTGGATCACGAGGTCAAGAGATCGAGACCATCCTGGTCAACATGGTGAAACCCCGTCTCTACTAAAAATACAAAAAACTAGCTGGGCATGGTGGCGCGTGCCTGTAATCCCAGCTACTTAGGAGGCTGAGGCAGGAGAATTGCCTGAGCCCAGGAAGCGGAGGTTGCGGTGAGCCGAGATCGCGCCATTGCACTCCAGCCTGGGTAACAAGAGCGAAAATCCGTCTCAGGAAAAAAAAAAAAAACTGAATCAGCAGCTCTGAGGGTAAAACCAGCAATTTAGTTAAACAAACGGTTCGATGTATGCTCAAGTGAGAACTGCTTTAAAATGTAAACCAGTGCTTTTCAAACTGAGGACTGCAGCCCACTAGTGATTCATAAAGAAGTCAATTTAGAATTTTCTTTGTAAACCTCTCTCCTTTCTCTCCCTCTCCGTCCTCTTCTCTGTCCCTCTGTTCCCTTCCTCCCTCCCTCTCTCCCCTACCAATGTTTTTTATAAACAAAACAGAACTGAAAGAAAATGTCAGACTGTACTGCGCTAAGAAAGAACAGTTTTGCAGATTTTCCTTATACACACACACTTGTGCATATGTTTATTCAAAATGTTAAATACCATTAAATTCTTAAGGAGGGTCCTAGTCAAGAAGTTTGAAAAACACTGTTCTACGCTGTTATCAAGGTGAATTTTTTAAAAATTATAAATACGAGCCAGGTGCGGTGGCTCAAACCTGTAATCCCAGCACTTTGGGAGGCCGAGGCGGGTGGATCACAAGGTCAAGAGATCAAGACTATCCTGGTCAACATGGTGAAACCCCGTCTCTACTAAAAATACAAAACATTCGCTGGGCATGGTGGTGCGTGCCTGTAATCCCAGCTACTCAGGAGGTTAAGGCAGGAGAATTGCCTGAACCCAGGAGGTGGAGGTTGCGGTAAGCCAAGATCGCGCCATTGCACTCCAGCCTGGGTAACAAGAGTGAAACTCCATCTCAAAAAAAAAAAAAAAAAAAAAAAAAAAAAATTATAAATATGACATCCTCTGCTTAAAAACTGGAACCACAGCAAAGTAATCATCTATCTATCTATCTACCTATCTATCTACCTATCTACCTACCTACCTATCTGCCTGCCTACTTACTTACCTGATATGGTTTGGCTGTGTTCCCCACTGAAATCTCAACTTGAATTCTATCTCCCAGAATTTCCACTTGCTGTAGGAGGGATCCAGGGGGAAGTAACCGAATCATGGGGGTCAGTTTTTCCGGTGTTATTCTCGTGATAGTGAATAAGTCTTAAGAGATCTGATGGGTTTATCAGGTGTTTTCACTTTTGCTTCTTCCTCATTTTCTCTTGCTGTTGATATGTAAGAAGAGCCTTTACCTCCCACCATGATTCTGAGGCCTCCCCAGCCATGTGGAACTGTAAGTCCAATTAAACCTTTTTTTATTCCCAGTTTTAGGTATTATGTCTTTATCAGCAGCATGAAAACAAACTAATATAGTAAATGGGTACCACTAGAGTAGGGCGTTACTGAAGATACCCGAAAATGTGGAAGCGACTTTGGAACTGTGTAACAGGCAGAGGTTTGAAAGGTCTGGAGGGTTCAGAAGAAGATAGGACAATGTGGGAAAGTTTGGAACTTCCTAGACACTTGTTGAATGGCTCTGACGGAAATGCTGATAGTGATATGAACAGTAAGGTCCAGGCTGAGATGATCTCTGATGAAGACGGGGAACTTGTTAGGAACTAGAGTAAAGGTGACCCTTACTATGTTTTAGCAGGGACTGGCAACATTTTGTCCGTCCTAGAGATTTGTGGAACTCTGAACTTGAGACGCATGATTTAGGGTATCTGGCAGAAGAAATTTCTAAGCAGCAAAGCATTCAAAAAGTGAGTTGGGTGCTATTCCGTTTTAAAAGAGAAATACAGCATAAAGTTCAGAAAATTTGCACCCTGATGATGCAGTAGAAAAGAAAAAGCCATTTTTTGAGGATATATTCAAGCAGGCTGGAGAAATTTGCATAAGTAGCAAATGTTAATCCCCAAGAACATGGGGCAAATGTCTCCAGGCCATGTCAGAGACCTTCATGGCAGCCCCTTCCATCACAAGCCCAGAGGCCCAGGAGGAAAAGTGGTTTCACTGGCCAAGCCCAGCGTCCCCATGCTGTGTGCAGCCTAGGGACTTGGTGCCTGGTGTTTCAGCCGCTCCAGCTGAAAGGGGCTGAAAGGTGCCAATG